CATCTGTTTGGCTTCAACTTCATCACTAAAAACACTAGCTAGTGGCATGCTGAAAGCGTTGTCTAAGCTTCATGCCACGTGCCCATAGGGCTCAGGCATAGGTGAGTTCAATCCTTACTGTCTGGCACTAGGAGGAAACATTATTCCAAATAGTATCTCTTTTGTCTTAAAGAGTTTTTATTTTATGAAATAAGAGACTTAATTGCTACTTTTCCAGATCAGATCAACAATTAACCTGTATATATTTGGGTGAAGACAAGGGAAGTCGTTTTGTCCCTCTTCCCCTTCCCTCGCAAGCAGCATGCTCTTTTACAGAATGCTTACATAAAGAACTCTTGCAAACCTTTTAGGAGAGTCTTTCTGATTCAGGAAAGATCCACCACAAGTAGAGTTTTACATTCCTTATATCTGGTGTTTCTACATTTGTTTTTGTTTCAGCTCTTGATAATGTACGAAAGGAAAAGCATACTCAGGTGGTAAACATACCTATCATTTATAGTTCCTAACGTCCAAGTGCTTCCTAGGTAATTGAAAAGAATATAACTTCCTTTTTCCACTCCCACAAAACAAATGCTCACAAGACACCACCACCACCAAGGGGAAATCCTTTATGTTCTCTCTAGTTAAGACGCCAGCTGTGTTTCCCTCTTACCTTCTCCCCAAATTCACACACACAACCCATGACTTCTCCCTTATTCATTTGAGTGTGAAAGGAGCAGAAGTAGGTATCGACAGTAGTCCAGCGCATTTCCTTTGAGCTCTCAGCAGTTTTTCACAATGCTGTTGCGTTTTGTGTTTATGGCAGAGCATAGACTGTCTTTCTTGCTTATTTAATTTTCTCTTCCCATGCTGCAAGGCTTAGTTCATTAGTTTAAAAGACTGTCACGCTTCTGGAGAAAACAATATGTTTGGCAGGGGTTTTGTGGATCATAATTATCAAAAAATCCAATCAAGCCACTTTCTTGATTGATTTGGGGATGAGATACACAGGCTTCAGTGGAGCTAATTGGACTTCGTTATTTTCTTAATTTATATTTTAGGCGTCTGACTGCCCCACCACTCCCACTTCTTTTGGTACAATTATTTTTTCCTCTTACAAACTAGCATATAAAGACTCTTCTAGGTATATGCTCTGACTGTACTGATTTTGTTTGTTGTTGTTAAATGTATGTCTTCCAGTGGTATTAGTAGTGTAGTACCCACGTAGCTGAAAAGCATTTTTACAGAAGGATAATTTTAAGTCTCAAAAATGCTGTTAGTCAAGCAGACATGTTCTTGAAAACTGTAGGAGATACGTAAATATAAAACGACACTGATCATCAATGCTGACAATTTCCTGAGGAATTTTCACGGCATGCTCTCCATGTATAAGGTATAAGAAAGTATTTTAAATAGCAGTGAAAACAAGAAATATGTGAGATCTAAATTCCAAAAGCAGAATGGTATGATCATACTAAGCCTAAGCTTGCTGTTATCAAATGCACTGAATGCTGACACACCTTGATGACAAAACGTTATTCAGAAAAATGCCCCAACTGTCAGTGCTTTGATAGCATCACGTTACATGCTCCAGGATTCCTCCAACAAAAGCCCTTTCAAATCAGGATCTCTTACTACATTTTTCTGCTGTGTGTGTGTGGTGGATTAGCAAGTAATGAAGAGGATTTCTCAAGAGATAGATTGATTTATTATTAATCTGGCTGTTTCTTTTCTGTATCAGTTGCACAAACTGATATGTAGGCAAAATAAGATTGAAAATTCATATGGAGGAAAGCAAAGATAACAGTAGAAATGCCAAGAAAGTCAACTTTGAGTTGCATCAACTTTTTACCTTCTGAATTCTCTTGAGGAATAGAGCAGTTTGAAATGTCTGTACTGTGAACATGACGCCTATTAACTGTTCCAGGAATCCACAGTGTGAAGACAATGGTTTTGGCAAAATCAAAGGTGATTGAGTTTGGGGTTGGAGAGAGGGGTGGGTTATGTATATTTACATCAGGAGTTGCCACTGCAAGTTGGTAATTCCCCTCTTTCTAATAGCAGAGAAAAATGGATTATTTTTTTTTCTGTGGTTTGCTTAGCTGAATTAATTTGATCTTATTCTCAAGAGTATGTCAGAAGAGAAATCTGGAAAAAAATGGTGTTTATAAACAACCTGCTTGTACTCAATAGCTTTACTTTAAACTGCTTGAACTAGTGTTTTCCCATTGTTTGAATGGATCCTACTTCCCCTTGTAAGCGAAACAGTTTTTCAAGTTTTGTAGCACTGAGAAGGTGTATAATAAGGGAACTAATTGAATGGTTTACTTCTTCAATGGCTACAGCAACTCTTGTAAGTACACAGGGGACTGTACTGATTGCTGCACCTCTGGTTATTAATCTGCAACCCCAAATGCATCTGTTCCCTTGTCCTCTTGAGGCAGAATGTTTTTGAAGAAATCGGGACCAAGTTTGTTAAATATTAACCATGCGGTACTTGAGCTACAGCTGTTCAAAAACTGTCATCTGGTTTACCATTTATTTTCTGCTACTTTCTTTATTCGCACCAAGGTTTCCCTTTCCTCTATGACTTCAAACATTGTATAATGCAAGAAAAGTGTTTACTTTAGTAGAAATTTTAATTGCTTTACCAATTGTCTTGTGTTGTCTTTAAAACTATAATTTAGTAGACATGCCATGTGAGAGCCATTTGTATCAAGCTCTTTTCTTGTTCCTGCATCAGGAAGAGAAGAGAAAAATTAATGGTATTGTCCTTCCAGACATGCGAACCTTGTTCAGAGTGTGGACTCTGCTGGATTTTGGTATCTTCATCTTCTGATCTAGAAGATGCACTTATCCTTATTTTGTAGAAGTTGAAAAATTGCCACAATCGCAATTTCATAAGCCATGTGTTCAAGGCTATAAAGGCAAAACAGAAACAGTTTGCATGGATTTTCACTCGAAGTATGTATAAAGAAAAGTAGTCACAGGGGTTTTCATTCACTTGCAGTTACACTGTTCAGATCAAGATCAGCAAACTTGAGGCTTACTTGTAACTGCAGGTACTAAAGGAGTAAGAGCAGACAAGAAGCAGCAAGAAGTGGTAAGTGACATAAAAAATGCAAAACTGCTATCCTGCTATTATTTGAAGAATTAATGTGCAGTTGAATTTTAAATGACAAGCAACTGCAAAACCAAAGAACAGTGCTACTGGCTAGCAAAATGCCAGTGCTCTTGAAGTAATCTGTATATTTTGTATTTAAAGGATTGTTTTCTTTCAGTAGGATTTAGTTTGTAGAGGCGTTATGTTCGGTGTTTGTATGGCAAGAGATACATTGGTTTGGAGAAGTATTTTTAAAAACATTAGAAATAGACAAGCTTGCTACTATGTAATCACTGATCCATGACCAGCTGTAGATCTGCAGGCACTACTTTAAAAAAAAAAAAGGCAAGTGGAATTTATTGCAGTTGATAACTCCTAAGACAGTAAGGAAGCAAAAAAATTCAGGCTATAATGGATTGCTGTTTAAACTACTGGCGCATTCAGTATTTAAAACTGCTGCCAACCGAGTCTGCTGTTTAATTGTAGCCTTCTTGCTGAAGTTAGAGCAATGCTGCAGCCCCTCAGATGACATTCTACTATTAAATGTACTAACACACTACAATAATGTACCCAACAGTGAGTAACTAGTGAGTGTTTCTTCTGGATTCCCCCCCCCCCCCAGTCTTTGAATGATAAATGTATTACACCAAGGAAGAGCAGTAGGACCACTACTCTATTAGCACAAAATTAGCTTTTACAACCTTAATCATTCTCCATATCATTTGACAAGAGATTTGTTAACGGTTTAGGGTCCTTCCTCATCAACAAATTCTTCTAGTACTGTGGTTTGAGAAGGATTGATTCTGTGATTTCTGGGGAAGTTCTGCAAATCCAGGAAATACCAACCACTGCCTAAGTCTGTTCAAATAATTACTCTTCTTGTGCCCAGATTCACTCCATCACTTTTGCCATTAGTTTTGCCCTCAAAGTAAGTTAAAATACCTGCCTCTACTATCAACATGGTAACAATTTATTGACAATTGAGTTGCAGCTGGTCACTGTTAATTTAATTATCAAAATGTTTGAGGACCGGTTCTAAAGCTTTAGTATATTTTGTGCTGCTAAAAGAGGCACTTTAATGATCCATTCAAGGTCGTTCCAGTAGCACATTAAAGGTTGGTACTAAAGTCAACACCAGGCTTTGTGTGTAACTTGAAGTATTTTTATTGACAGGATTTTTCACAAGCATTTGCTTTTTATTACTTTCACCAAAATAAAGCATACAGCATAGAGTGTTTTCATACATTTAGGAGAAAAATAAGTGTATCTTGAATTCTTTAATGCATTGATAGCTTATGTAATACAAAGTTTCTCTTAATTTATGTTAAGTACAGCTTGTTTGCCCTTTTTTAAAAACAAACTTTTATCTTGTTACCATGTTTCCTGTGTTAACTTATAGATGTTTAAACAACAAGCGGGAAACTGCAGTGATATTTATTGCCAGAGACAAAAAGTTGCTCTATTAGGATGAAATCTGTATATTAAGTTATCAACTGGTAAATCAAAAAAAAACCCACTCTAAATGTATGCTGTCAATTGAACTGATACAGAAAAATTTTAAATAACAACAACCATTTAACTTTAACCTCCAATTTGTGTGCAGACTAATAAAAAAATAATCCAATTTTCATATTTCCACACTGATTGGTATGCATGTTAATTCTGGTATTTTCTGAATTTCATTTAGAATTTACAATAAACTTGTTTGTAATTATAAATAAATAGAGGTATAAAGACAAAATCTCATAGTGCATTTCTCTTGAAGTTACCAACTATGTTAAATGCATAATTTAAGACCATAAATACAATCCCATTCAACTTAATCAAATATCATAGGACTAACTTCATGTGCTCAGAGTTTCATGCTGCATAGTTGAGAAAGGAAAAAAATTACGTGGCACTTAGTATCTTTAATGGCACTTCTTTCAGCAAAGAACAGTATGTATTTGTATTACTAGCCAGGGCTACTCTTTAAAACAGTACTTTTAATATATGCATGAAAAATACATAGAACGCTAAATAAACCAACAATTCCTATGTTGCGTTTCAAGCTTTAGCTAATGGTACAGGGATCATCATTGCTTGGTTTCATTTCCCCTTCCAGCAATAGCGCGATCACAGCCTTACTCAAGTAGCTGCACGTTCCCTTTTTTCCCATGGGGTGAGTGTTGTAGAATGCCGTCATGTCATCCTGCAGGACAGGGAAAAGATGTTTCCATTAGTGTTGATTATGGAAAGCAGCCAAACACAGGCAAACAGGAGGAACACCACAAATACGTTAGAAATGCAAACGTGTTTTTCAGACTCTAAAGCTATAGTATAATTTTGCTCGATTTCCAGAAGAGTCCAACATATACTTACGTGGACACGTGGAAAACAGATTACAAAAATGCATTGCATATATTTCTTTACTGAATTTTCCAGTCCTGTACAGATACCACTACCTTAATTATTTTTTTTAAAATGTAATAGGTGTCAGAGAACAACCACTCTATTGAAACATGCAGCTAGATGATTACTATGTAGTTAACTTACTGTGCTACCGCAGTAGGATTGTGAGCCAGATGTAGAGATATTGACTAAAGATTTATTTGGAAAAAGAAAATATTTTTTAAATCCAAGAACCAAACCACAGGTAGCACATGAACTAATTCATTAATCAGATCAACAAAATAGGTTTCCTTCGCTGAACACCTGTTTTGCAGTTAATGATGTTAAAACATCTGCTTATTCTCAAATTATGTATTGGCTGCAATAATAAAGGTTCAAAGCTTTAATTCAGGAATTTGGTTACTTTTATTAAATGAAGGGCAGAGATTGTGTGGTGCAAAGATTAGACTTCTGTAGTTTTAGGGTGTGTTTGAAATTACTGGAGTAAATACTTCTGACATTTATTACATGTTAACATGGAATTAACAAAGTTCCAAATATTTGCAAGTCAGTTTAATAGAAGAGCATAGTTCAGACAAATTAGGAGTTCTCTTAGCAGCGTTTGTTAGGGAATAGCATCAGAACAATCCTAAATAGGCTACATTTAACTGCCACCGGGAATACCTGGGGATATGGGAGAGTCAGGTTCCAGGAAATTTTTATGTAAGGAATTACGTTTCCAACAACAATCTTAAAGTTACTATTCACAATTATAAATTGGGATTTCTTTCTAAGAGACAAAAAGGCATCATTCTAAGTAGATCTGGGCTTGGGAAAAAAATCCACCACTTCACTGGAGGCTAGGGCAGCACCAGTAAAAGTTGGGTTTTGCATGGGATTTTCCTTTCTAGCCATTGGGGATTTCCAGCTTGTCACAGAATTCAGTAGCATATTCAAGATACCGTGCCGAGCTGACACGTAATAGCCATTAGTGTGGATGATAAGTCTGATTTTGCTATGGCTGCAACCACAGAGTCATTGCCTTCCAAAACGGGCAGGCCAAAACAATGATTATATCAAGAAAATTATGTCCTTTTAAAAACCAGAGGTATTATGCAAGGTGTTGCTAGGGCTGGATATCTGGCTTGCTTTCAAACCTTATTACAAAGTAGTGGCTTGAAACTTTTGAAAGAATTCTTAAGGAGCGCACGCTTCCTCATCTTTTAAAGGAGCTGAATTCAGCAACAGGAAGTGCTGTTGCATATCAATATGTTATGAATCAATAGATTATTCAGAGCTAGCACAGATTCTCCGAATATTTTGTGCACAATAAAATGCCAGACGGAGCAAGGAAGATTATCTGCAGTAGCACAGGGACTTGTCCACAACACTGCTTTACTCATATTTCCTCCTTTAACCAGTTCAATGAACCTGGCTTTATTAGTGAATTTCAGAGCTTTGAGGCATCAAAACTTGTAGTGAGAATATTTAGAGGTCTTTAAAGCATAAAACCTAAAATCCTAGTAAAGTAAATCTTAAAAGCTACTTAATGATCAAGTTTCATTTTTTTGGATTTTAAGCTTTAGAAATTAAAAGCTTGCTAGTCTTGCTAGCACAAAAACCAGTAGCCAAGGACAGTTTTGCATTTCAGGTTATTACCTTAATATTGTCAACATTAATTCTTTGGTTACTAAATTTTTCTTGGTAGCTGTGTTCACAAGATCCTAAATTCACACTTCCTTGCTGAGCTTCATTTTTTTCTTTCTTTTTTTGTTATTTTTAACTCTCCTGTGTTTTAGTGTCCCCCATGATTAATTCTTTCCCCTTTAATGGGGATTATAACAATTTCAGCTTTACCCAGACTCTCATTTCAGAGCTGTGTAACATTGTGAGTGTTGTCCTTACCATACCAGTTTGAATTCACAGTTCAGCAATAAACTAAGTGCGCATCTTTTGTCTCTGCTTATAGGCTCTTCGCAGATTTATGCAGCACTTGGGTATATTCATTTCTTATTTGTGTTCCATTCTGAACTCCTACCAATTGCTTTTACTCTGAACCACACAAAATTAACATTTATTACTAACTTCAATAAGAATAGTAAGTTCTGTAAGAAAGTAGTATTTTACTCACTTGTTTTTCAGCTCCCCTTGGACTGCTGTGATCTTTCTGAAAGGCATGAAATGCTTCTTGCACCACTTTGTCCAAGTCCACTTTGTCCTGGAACTCTAGCTCAGGATTTCTCTCCAGAATAACAGATATAACCATCAACAACTAGAAGGCAGAAAAAGACTGTAAGGCTTTAAATGTGATTTTTAAAAATGCAGGTTACATACAAGCACAGATAATAATTGCATATGCCTCTTTCAAGCAGGAAGCCATTTAATAATGGCAGAGGTAATAGTGCGCAGATAACAGAATTCTGACTTCGATAAAAGAATCACTGAAAAAGATGGCTTTTATGAAAAGTTACAATTTTAGGTGACTACCTAGTTAAAGGCACTGTGTAAATGATTGACATTAACATCTAACTTTGCTGGGAGCCAGGAAAGTTATTTTCCAGTTTATTCATTTCACAGCGTGGCTGCAAAAATGCTGGTGCTCAGACAATGGAGAGGGTGAAAAGCAGCAAACACTGAACCTCAGCATTTGATGTTTTGAGACATGATCATGTATGGTATAATTGTATTATGAGAAAGCTTATAAAAAACAAAGTCAATTGATGCCAATAAAGTCCTAGGTTCAAGAGAATTTGCATTCCTTATATCTAAAAGGTTTAAAATAGGAAGGTGAACATGAGTGACCTGTCCTAGTAAGTACAAGTGGGCAGTAGAGTCTATATAGGTCATCTTGTGTTTTGGTAATCGTGGTATCTTTCAGCAAAAACTGGGGATGTTCCAGCAAGCAGCATGTTAGGTGTCAGCCAGAACTGAGATGGATTTGATTTTACTGTGGAGGAATACTCACAAGCACCAGAGGCATACGCTTGGGAACTAGCGGTGAATGCTGCTGACAGCACAGATGTCAGTTACCAAGGGTAACTTGATCTGTTCAAAAAAGTACACATTATGTGCAGTGCTAGGGAAGGGGTTTAAACAGCCTCTTGCTTTACTGTTAAGTATGGGAATGTAAGGAAAGTGGAAGTTAGTTGATTCAGCAGCGTAAAACAACTTACTAGACAGCTTCAGCAAAATGAGAAAGAAGAATCTATCACAGGGCAGACTGACATTTTAGAGCAGTTTTTCTCTGGACCTAGAAAATTGTTAGGAAACGGCATAGGCTAGGGACTTGAAGGAAAGCAACTTTGGGATTCTTCTTACTAGTTTTCACCTCCTTTGACTTAATTGTATTGGTACTGTCATTAATATTTATCTAGTTGCTAAAGGGGAAGAACATCAAGAACTTAGTATATTCTGAACATGTTAACAGGAACCTGTTTAATCATACAAAAATCTATGGAAAAACCACTGAAGCAAGTGTGCATATTTAAAGTGCTATTTCTTCAAATATATGAACTTTGGTTACTTTTTTTTTCTTTTAAGCTGTAACATACTCATGTACATTATAATATTTCATTCATTGTAGGCCACAGACCTCTACAATAATTTGCCTGTATTCCGGCTGGTCGATATTTTGCAGCATATCTTCAACTAGAAGGGAAAAGTTCATTTCATACATCGTCATATCTGATAAGGTTGGTTGCTGAAAAACAAATAATACTTTTAGTCAAAGGCCATTTGCATTAAATCAAAACCAACTCCAGGTAGAGCCTATTTGCTTGTTGAATAAATAATACACAACTAAGAAATATGACCACTGTAGGATCAAAAAGGGATAAGACTTCAGAGCCCATGACTTGGAAAGGGTCTTCTAGACTTACACTTCCATAAATGTGTTTTAATAGAAATAACTGACTTCCATTCTATTCTAATTGTATTTTGCTCGGAACCAAACGGAAAACTTGAAAATACTTTTTTTTTTTTTAAAAAAAATTGTAACAGGAACAAATTACCCTAGGTAATACATTATGGCACAAAATAGACATTAACGATAACATAAGTCCCCGATAATAGAAAGGTAGAGCATAAATAACTGAGCATCTTTGCCAGTTGTACCTGTGGTAAAAATTTCCCTGCCACTATTAAACCATTAGGGGTTCTCTCCAAGATCTGCCACACACGATCATAGAATCCAGCAGGAGTTCGATTGAGAGAACCGTCTATCTGTCTTCGGTTTAGCCAGCTTCTGTGGACAAAGCAAATTGAGAACTTGAAATAAACTGCTACGAATGCAGAACCAAGCTATGTTCTGTGGTGTAAGCCAGTAAGGCAGGCGGTGACAAATACATATTAATGATGCATATGCAGTATATGTTATGCTTTCTGGTAAGTTACGCTCTAAAGCAAACAAAATCAAGATGCTCAGCCTATACAGGTTAGAATGTTATTCTTATGTGTGTGTGTGTGCTTTATGTAACTGGAAGATAAGAATTAACTGTGAAATCTATACTGTGCGGGTCAGTAACAGTTGTCGGCCGAATTCATCATGTCTAACCACTTTAAGTCACCATAGACTAGAATGTAAATAAAACAGAAGTCACTGTGTGGCACCTATAACAGTCAAATTTATACAAACTGAAAAAAACCAGTATTAACTATAATACTAAAGTTTGTTTTATCATACTGCAGTAGGCAAAAGAATTCATTATATAACTACAGCTCAATGAAATTCTGCACCTATAAAATGCAAAATGTAATAGATAATGAATTAGAAACACCTATCATTCTAATTTAAATATCGGGTTAGAAAAACGCATTTCAGCAAGATTGCTGAAGGTCGTTTTTTTATGATGGTTTGTAGAAAAACAAGCGGCCTTTAAATTTAGAAGAATCGACAGAATGGTTTTGTTAAACTAGAACTTTGAACAAACGGAGTTACATTCTCCATATATCATAAATTTTGTTTGCCTTCAGAATTCCCCACTTTTTTTTTTTTTTACTTACAACATGAAGTCTGGAATTTATTTTTTGTATTTTTTCCTTCTCAGTATTACTACAGCAACAGGGCTTTAGCCAAAATGTTTGAGACACCAGCAATGGGACTTTAAGAAGTGGCAGCTGTGGCTATGATTTTAATTGGTGGAATCACAGTATAGAATTAAGTCTTGTGTAGCAGTACTGCACAGATTTGACAGAAGTGTTTTCCTAAAAGTTACTGTTCTTAGTTGGTTTTTAAATTTTAAATAGAAAATATTTTTATCTGCCCATCTCGTTCTCTGTATAGCTCTGTCCTTGGACTAGGACAAGAAAACATTCATAAACACAGAAAGACAAGTTGAAGATAGAAATAAAAGGTGGTTTTCTTAATACAAAGAAAGAAGCATTTGAAGATGTCAAAAATACTCTGACCTATCTAAATTACTATAGTAAGGAAGAAAGTCCTGTAAAAGTATGAGCAAAATGAGTTCTATAACTGTTTGGACCATTAAAAGGACAATGCTCCATCATAAAAAGACTACTCACAGTTTCGTAACCTACATAAATAGGTCAAAAAGAGTATCTATGGAAGTCCGCACTCTGTTGGCGATAACTGTATCTATAGGGTATCATATCCTGCAGCCCAGTGTAAGAGGTACAAAAATAGCAAAAATTTTACCCTCCATGAAAACTTGGAAAGAGGTTAGCTGTGGAGAGACTGTTAGGGAGGTAAATATAACACTAGTCCTTTCATGTAAGACAAATTAATTGGTAGTGATATATGGTATCACAGTAGCAGAGATTTTTTCTAAAAATCACAACAGTAGGGAAACCTGTCACAGAAAGACAATGCAAGGAGACATTGCTCTTTATTTCCTGGCAGAAAGAGAACTTTTAAAAACAAGTCACTAATGGGTAAGGAAAAAAATGAGCTGGTAATACTGTACAGGAAGAAGTTAAAAGATAGGAAGCCTTGACGGATATGCTGGCTAGCTTTTGAACTCGGATAACACCCAAAAAAGAATCTTCATCCTCAGGAAATGAACAGAGTGCTCTTTGCTGACCCAGCTATTGTATGTTAAAGGAATCAAAAGCAGAAGGCACTGTGACAACTCAGGTAAGATCTCTAATGAAGGATGGTGCTTGAATTGCTTGCTGTGATTGACCTAATGGTTTCCTAAATAGCCTAATATTTAATGGAAAATGCTGCAAAGAGAAACCTAGGGTTGTTCTGCTAAGGTTTCAGAGGAATAATGTCAACATCAACATGAGTAGAGACAGCATCTAAGCAGCAAGCAACAAGCATTAATAACCACAACCAAGACACTAAAAAGCATGTGGGAGATGCAGAGTTATATAGTCAGCTGGACTGAGAGATTCTACATCACATAGATTAGATAAGAGAGAGCAGACACAGATTTAAGGAGCTTGGTTCTCAGGCATTATAGATTGGGGGAAACAAATAGAATGTGTTTTGAATTAAAAAAAAAAGAGAAAAGGCCATCGTCCATTCAGTCAAGGACTACAGAAATTATCAGCAGTATTATGTGCCAAAGTTTAATCTAACTGAGCTAGAAGTAAAACCTACACAGGACTTGTGACTTTATACTCTTATCAGTATTGTTAAGTGGAAATACTGTCATTTCACCTTTTGTCTTGCACACTTTGTATCACAATGACTGCTGGCTTTGGCAGCTATTGACAGCTTGGAGAAAAGATTACAAGTTGCAGGCAGCACCGCTCTCTCTTGAGAATTCTAGAGAAATCTGTTCTTAATTAAAATAATGAGCTAGAAGAAAGAGGACACTGGACAGCAAACTGTTCTTACAAGTTACTTAAGTAGATGGTACCGAGTAATTTTTGGCTTTCCCCACCTCAAAGAATGTAATGCTTCACATAACTGCCAAAGTATAGAGATTACTACTACAAAGTAAGACTTTCACAAAGATAGAGCTAAAAAGGGAAGATGCAATACAAAAGAAACAATTGTAGAATCTGGACACAGGTGAAAGAATGAAAAAAGTGCATTTTTGCTACCTTGCCTTAAGTATATTACTGATTGCAGCTGCCTGGTAATTTCAGATGTATACAAAGTACTTCAGAAGTGAAAATTGCATGAAAAGCCTATTATGAATGAAAACAGGTGCCACGAACCCGCACATCTCATTACCTCCCCTGCTGCTGCGGTTGAAGAATATCCAGCAGAAGCTGCTTCACTTCACTAGGGGACATCTGGTATAAGTCCTTGGCTGGCATATCCCCAGCACGGATTTTCAATTCATACTTCATAGCATGGATAATCCATCTGAAGCAAAGGAGGAATACATTTATTCATTAAATACGAAGTTTCCAAAGATGAATAATTAGTCTAATAAAATAGCTCATAAGAATTCCACAAGATCCTACTATTTGGCTGTCAGGACATGCACAAAATATCACATAAATACTCTACTACTCTTACTGCGTTGTGGAATTTACTCAGGTTTTGCGTTTGTTTGCAATATGATACAAACTGAAAGGGATAATGCACAGATTTTAAGAAATGGGTTGTGAAGCATGCTTTTCATAGGGAAGATACATTTGACCACATATTCCTCCATGTCCCATGGTCATTAAGACAAACATTTGCTTGCTTTTTGATGTCAAAATTCCTACTCAAAACTATGCTCTGACAGTATATGCATTTTGCTGATGAGTTTAAAAAAAATATAAAAATTAAATGATTTTACATTTAAAAAGACTTCAGGGCTTATTCATAGTTTTAGCCTTTGAAATTCCTTTTTGCAGTCTATCGCACATTTCTTTCTTTTGCTACTCCCCTTTGAAAAGATTTGATTAAATAAAAATACAGCAACAGTGAACATTTTTCAGCCTTAGGTATCAGAGAGGCAGAACTTTGCAAATTATTGAAGGAAAATGCTGATTTTTATTCTGTATACTATATAAAAAACAGTGCTACAGCCTCGAATATAGTATCAAAGATGAAATAATGTATAGATACATCTGAAGCAAGATAACTGCATGAAGCTCAGTCTCTACATCGCTTCAGTTCAAGTAGGTATTACTACTAAAAGGGAAAAGAAACTTAACTAGTTTTTCTTCAAACAGTCCATCATATAACACCTGATCAAGTCGGGGTTATGTCAAAGAGCCTTACACTGTTTATCAGAAAATGCAGAGTGCTCCTAAGAGAGTTACCTTGTCATCAGTATAGCCACATTCCACAGGCTATAATTATTTAGCCTACAAGGTACAGAATGTTTTTGTTTATGTAAGTCAAGTCACAATCTTATCTGAAGGATTCTTAGTAATGACACAGAATTCTGAGATGGCAGGCCAACTGACTCAACGGTGCTTTAAATTTGAGGTTTCTAGGACCAGTCATTGAAGGTGCAAGATACAAGAGAACATTAGGCACCACAAACATACTACATTAGCCAGAACACACTACTTTTATTTATTTTAGTGGGTGAATACTGTCATTCTCTTGTTACTAAGATTAACCAACACAACTGGCTTAGGAATGAGTTCTTTTTCCACTGATGACTCAAATGTATCTGCGTGGAAGTCATTCACTGGTATTTTCTCTTTGCAGTAGCCTACAAAACACAGCAAAGTCAAGAGTGGACCTCCTCCTGAACGCTTCACTGACAAGAGGTGGGTAGAAGTCAGTTTGTTGGAGGTTTTTACAGTAATGGGGCTGTCAGGAACTTGATCTATTTCAACATGAAACCCTGAAAACAAATCAATAACAAGACACTAAATCAAATCATTATCAAACTGGAATGGTGTTTCTGTGAGAAGGTTAATTTTGCTCACTGGGGTGGGTGATAGCACTGAAATAAAGGAAATTGAATTTCTAGCATTAGCCATGGAAGAAAGAAACAAAAATTGCAAAAGGGATTAGCTCCGGAGAATGAGGAAGGGGAAGAAAGAGGAGTAACTTGGATCTGTAGGGGGTACAGAAAAGTTATTTAAGTGCAAAAGGATAGATGTACTTGCAGTTAAATATAATACAGGTGATTTGACAAGCTTTTGTTTTTATGACAACTGGAATGTCCTGCTAAAGTGGAAGCATGAATCTTGTGTACTAGAAAAATGACCGTTGGTATCCACCTCCGGTGATGAAATGCTGTATTTTCTCTATGAAAAAAAATATGCAAGATGGAACACTTCAGTTCTAATTTTAAAGCATGCTTGCTAATTCTGTAAATCCCAGTCAGTTGCACCTGGCCTCTTCAAAGAAGTGCTTATTCAAATGCATCTGTTTCTTCCTAAATTTGTAAAAAAAAAAAAAAGATTTCTGTAAATGGCAAAATAAATGCAGATACCACGGAATACAGTAACACTCCAGCACAGACTATTTGTAGGTCACCGTATCAAAGAACTAAATATAACAATCTAATAGGTAAATGATGTTTTAAATTTGATTCAGGTTTGTGGTTCCTAAGCTAGGTATAGCTTAGCCTAACCTATTTAGTATAGAATCGGACAATTATGTAGCTGATGAACAGTCAAGAAGTGTTGTGTGTGTCTGTAATAGGAATACTATTTAGTTGGGGGGTTGTTTGGGGTTCTTTTGAAGAAAAATAAGACATTTTTAGCAACCTTAGACAATTCAGGTTTTCCTTTACCATGGCAGTGAAGTATTTTTGTGTAGAGAGCTGCTCTTGAACAGTGTCTTTGTTATGCCAGATATCAGATGTTCAGATTCACTGAGTATCAGAAGTATACCTTGGTGTCTGAAAATACTTTAGGAAAAGCTGTAATGGTAAATACATTTAAACTGCAGAAGGCTTTTACTACCTGAAGTCCTCATTACAGACAACGCTCTAAAAGAACAAGCTATCTTTTAGGCAGATTATTGTGCTGAAACTCTGAAAAGAAATAATTTAACTACCTCAAAACACTATTTCCAAGGGATTTGTTGCTGATGGTTGCCAAACTTTTAAGACCGATTTAGACAAGGCTGTATTATGAGCTGAACACTTACTAGAAACTAGAGAATGCAACTAGAAGCATATGTTGACCTGGAAGAGAATCGTGTGGTTTCAGAAGGGAATCAAATTCATGCTGCATCCTTCCTGGATTATTGCATTTATGCAGTCTCTACCCTTTACCCATTTGCCCCAAACACAGATGACGTAGGCAACTGCTCAAGTGAGCAAAAAGATCTTAAAGGCCTCATCTGGGAACCTTAATCCTAGGCTGCACTTTCCCCTCCTTCTTCCTCAAGTCCTGAAAGCCTCTCACAGTAAAAGCTCTTACTGTCTTCTCTGCCTCTTGATTCTTCCCTCCCTGCCAGTACAGTACATCCCTGGCCTCCGGCTGTGTCCCTCTAACCTGCCTGGTTGGTGGGTGGGCAGCAGCACACCCTGGGTGCATCTGCAGTACCTGGGGGGCACTGTAAAGGCAGAACCAGTGTTTGGTTTGGTGTGATCCATTATGCTCCTAGGAATCTATGTCCACATCACATGTTTACTAGTAATGAAATTCGCACTGGTTACCAGCCTTACACATGTGCGGCACACCGGTACCTAGTACATGATAAAAAGATTTCTGTAGAGATTGCCTTGCTGCCCATGCACAGACAGCAAACCGTGAGCAGACTTTGTATCCACTCCGCAACTGGGAAACTCTGGATGGCACCCAGCGTGCTGCATGTCTGCTGCCAGGTAGGAACCTGTCTCAAGAGCACCACTAATACAGGTGAGCGCATACTTTATTATGTCAGGTTTGGATATGAAGCCAGTTGCAATCGGTAACAGAACCCCTTCAACCCACTGCATTGCTACAGAGACTCACCACACTGTGTCTATGCCAGAGCTACCGAGTCTGGTCAGCCAGCTGGTCACTGCCTCCTTGGCCACCAGGTAAGCCAGGCGCAACCTGGAGGCAGCACACTTGCCACTGCTTGTTTGCTGTACAGAATGCATCTAACCCCACTACACTGTTTTTGGTTTTAAAGCCCTAACATGATAGGGATCAAGCTTTGAAAAATTGTATAGTTCACGGTGTTAGCTGTAGGAGAGCTTCTAATGGGCTACTACAAGGACTGCCCCTCCTCCACTTAATGCTGTTGACTGGCAAATTTGAGATTAGTTGTGTACCCGTTTTTGGTACGCTAATTTAAAGCGGGCTTCCTTGAAATGTAAAATTGAAGTACACAAGTTTTGCTGCATCACCTCACATAAACCATTTTTGCAATGCAGTAACAATCTCTGTTGAAGTATGTATACTCCCCTGCAACACCAGTAGTAAGAACAACAGTAGATAATTACTGACCCAACTCGTATCTTCAGCATGCCACTGAAAAGTTCAGGTGAATTTG